TACGAAAAGTATTAAATAAGCTGGAGTGAATGAATATGTTTTTAAGAGATGGTGAATAAATTTATTTTAAGAAATAATAAATAAATTTATTGTAAGAATAAATAATTGAATTTGTTTTTTAAGAAATAGTAAATAAATTTATCTTAAGAATAAATTTATTTTAAGAAATAAGTGAATGAATTTAATTTAATATATAAGTTTTTGTTTGAAATAGAAAATAACGTTATGTATGCGAATTTTGTAGAATATTGTAGAATGAAAGAATATTATTTAATTGCATGAAAAAATGAATTTGTTTTTAGAATTAAAGAAAAATTGATTTTATTGTTAAATGGTAGAATAAATGAATTTTATTTTGGGGTTGAGAAATGAATCAGTTTGTTTTAGTTTATGAGAAAAAGATTGAATTTGTTTGTGCGTGTTTTCTTTTAGAGAAAAAAATGAAAGATTGGATTTGTTTTTGGTATGTTTTAGTTTAAATAATGAGAGAAAAATAAATTTATTTTTTGGATAAGAAAAGATAAGTGAAAAAAGAGTAAAGCTTTTTGATTTAAGTTGAATGAACGAGAGTTTTTTTAAGATTTATAAATAATTTTTAAATTTTTTGTTTGGTTTGAATAATTTTATTTTGAACAATAAGTTTATACGATACGTGATACAATAATTGAAGCAACGCGTTTCGAATTCTCTTCAGGCTATGAATGACTATCTATTTTTTCTTTCCTTCCTTTCTCTGACTCTCGTTCCTTTATTCTACTCTCGTCCAATAGGATAATTTCTCTTCTCGACGGGGGTAACTATTCTAATTGGAGGGGGATAGATGGCGTTCTTTTCTTTCTATTTCTATCTTTTTCTCAGTGTATTCTCAGTATATTCTAACTCACAAGGCAATCTCGATAGTGTAGGTGTGGCGAGGGGACTCAGCTTACAAAGGGACTCAATGAATATTATAATAAAAATTATAATAACACACACAAAAGTACGAACATTAAATACAAAAAACGAAAAATGAAAAACAACAAACAAAACAAACAACTAAAAAACAAAATCGGCCAGGTCCTTCCTTCTTATTATTACTGTTACTGATGAATGTATAATAGAAAACAGAAAACAATGGAGGAAGGGGATCTCATTTGGTCCTACTCTTATCTTACTCTAGTTCTTCTACTAGTGCCTTTATCGCTGACTTAGGTAGTTTCTTGTGCACTAGTACTTTCTTTAAATTATCGGCTAATCTTTGGGCAAAAATAACTGGTATATCGCTTAGTGGAGTTTCCTCAAAAATTTCTTTCCAAATTTGATGAAATCTTGACCCGAAACGTGCTAAATTTTGGGTATGAGTGAAGTGGACCATGATATCTCTATTAAAGTCAATTTCGAGTTTGTCTTTTTTATTCCACTCTACGCCTAAGACCTTGTCCCTAAATTCATTGTGTCTATCGCTAAGGAGTAATTTTGAATTTCTTTGCCCTGTTAAAGTCTCATAAAACCGTTTAAAATGTTTATCTATAAATTTTGGGGGATATTTGTTCAAAAGCAGGGTTATTCTTACTTTCTCAATTTCTTCTTCTAGATTCTCTTTATGCGAACATATTCTTACTGCTCTTAAAATTGCTGAGAAGGGGATATTCTTCATTACATGGGGAGGGTGTGCTGAGTTAATGGTAAGATGTATGACTGAGCAGCTAATTTTTCTATATGCCCTTGTCCGAAAATTTGGAATCTCAACTTCTACTCTTACGTCTAAGTAATCTACATATTGGCCAGTCTCAGAAGTTAACCATATATTTTTATCCTTTTCCCTAACTCTAATAAAATTTTATCCATTTCTTCTTTAGGTTTCTTAGTAGTTATAAAATTATCGTCCCGAAATCTAAGGTATATCTCTCCTTCCTTCTCTTGCTGTTCTCTAAATCCTTTCTCTCATTTTCTCATGTATACATCTGCCAAGACTTGGGTGCATTCTGATCCCATGGGTCCTCCTCTAATTTGTTTATAATACTTAACTTTCTGTCCTGGTAACTGAAGGGCGAAATACGCATTTTCTAAGACATGTCTGAATAGGGCCCTTATCGTATTGATGGATATTTCTCCATTTACCTTAATTGTCTTATTCTCATCTAACATCTCACAAAGGGCTAAGATAGATTCTTGCTGAGGTATCGTTGTGTATAAATCTGTTATGTCAAATGTATACACAAGGGTCTGGTCTGTCGTTCCATATTTTTTCAAATGTTGTATAAATTCTATACTATTCGTCAAGCTATACGGGGTTAATCTATTAAATATGAGACGAATAATTTGATCGAGAAATGCCGAGATTTTTTGTGTTGGTGATTTGATACCCGAAACAATTGGTCTCAGTGGTTCTCCTGCCTTAGGGTGTGGGTGTGGGGTGTGATTGAGCGGCCATGACCGGTTTCGTCCAGACTAAGGGACTCATTCAGATGGCTTAAATATTCTGAATTTTCAAAGAGAAAATCCAAAACAAAGTATATCTTCAGTATTACAAGAAGTCGAAACAAAGGATGTGGGTGGGTGTGTATAAGTTACCACGATAACCTAATTTAGATTATTTCGATTGTTTCTAACTCAAAGCTTATCAAGTGGCCTTAGTACCAGTTGAAAGAGATTCAAAAGAACTTTGAATCCAAACATGATACCTGAAAATATCTTCTTTTGGAGGCGAACCTTTATGTAGATACACTCACAATAGAAGTGGGTGTGTATAAGTTATTATTAAGATATAGCTTTTAGATTGAAAGCACCACCCGACTAGTTTCGTCCTTGCTTAAGGGACTCAACGGGCATGTCTACAATCTATAAGTACATGTATCTAAAACTCTCCAAAAGTCTGAAGTAGGGTGGGGTGTGATTATATTAATGATAATAATAATCAAATTTAGCTAGCAAGACCGGTTTCGATAAGTGCTAGAGTTAAACTTATCAATTGCTTTATTGATTATAAGATGTTGTAAATGTATAATTCTCCTACTGTGAAAGCTACAGTCAGAAGTTTTATAATAAAACTCCTAAGCTAGTAACAATCACAAAAGTGTATTATCGGGTAAGATGTATTAAGAACAAGTATCCGACAAATTTTTTGAAGAGATTCTCAAATAAATGGGTGTGATTATATGTTAATGGATTATTAGTAATCAAAAGAAATGAATGAAAAGTTTTTTTTGTAGAAAATAATTCTTTTTTACAAAAGCTTGATTTTTCTTTTGCCGTCTGTTGGATGGCTCTTTATTTTCATTTTTTTTATCAGGGTGGGGTGTGGGTGTGAGTGTATCATGAAAAACAAAGCCACGACTAGTTTCGACCTTTCTCAAGGGTCTCATCAGGCAGCTTTAACTCTGCATAGCCTTAGAAAACTTAATTTGAAAGAAATTCTATAAAAGAATACTTCCAAAGTTAAATTACTAAGTTCAAAGAAATGTTAATGAATGAGTTTTTTTTTTTAATTGGAGATTGCGGTTTGTGTTAATGGTTGGTTGGCATTGTTCATGTTTTGTTTGTAGGTGAATGGTATACTCTGTGGCAAGTTATCCTTCGCGACGTTTTTGTCCAATCGATTATGGCGCGATGAAGGTTGCCGGTTTCTGATGAAGTTGGTTTGTTGGCAGTAGGGATTCATCAAAAGGTGATTTGTTTTGGAGATTTCTTTCAAGTCGAAGGCGATTCTGCTGTAGGTTATGGAAATTGAGTTTCAGTCTGTGTGATGTGATATTGAGATCCTTCTGTCTGAAATTGACTTTAAGAGTTATGGGAATTTTGTGCTGTTTTTTTTGTTGCGATGGTAACGAGATGAGGATATACAACATTGCGATTTGATGATAAAATATTGTTGTGTTTTCAAGTATGTCGTTCAGATGATTATAGTGTGTTTGGTCGAAGACTATTGACATATGCTTTAGATGTTCAGTCTTAGAGGGACTTGTGTAACCTAGAATAGACAAGTTGCGTCGATTGAATCGTTGATTGATGAAATAGTTAATATATCTAGAAAGAATTAGAGGAGATTAGTATAATGGTAGAAATGGATGTTGACGAGAAACTGTTTATTTTTATTTTTATTTTTATTTTTTTATCATTTTTTGCGGGAAACAATCGGTTTTTACAACTTTGAATGGAAAATAAGGCGAGAAGGTTTGAGGAGGAAAGGAAAAATGGCAAACGCCTTAGATATCTAGTTTATGAAATCTTCAATCAGGCGAATAATGGGATTGTCATTGATTGCTGTTGAGCTGATGTTTAGTTGACCAGAAAGTTCCGAGATGGTTTCTTTTCGAGTAAACGACGTTCTAGCGATGGGTTTGTTCTAGTGCCAATGGTTAGTCGAACGTTTTTCACGAGGGATCTTTCGTCGACGTAATATTTTTTCCATAATTTTCGTAGCACTTGTCGGTATCGTGTTATGGGTCCACTTTCGTGTACGTCATGTAAAATTAATTTTTGTCGATCCCACACCTTTTTCTTTGGTGGATATGGAACGACATTTTGATCGACATGGTTTGTGTTTTGATGATGATTTTCTTGTCGGCTCAGTTGGGCGAGGAGTTTTTCATGGACTTGGCGGTACATAGGATGGTCTAAGCATTTCCAAACGTTTAGGGCCTGGTTTGCTACGAAGAACTTGTTAAAATGGTGATTGATAAATTCCAATGGATAGTCACTCATTATTAATGTTAGTTCAAGTTTTAGTCGCTCGCTATCAAAGTTATCGACGTTTGAACATAGGCGACCAGCACGAAGTAGACCACAATATATCGTATTTCCATGGGTATAATGTGGGTGATCTGATGAAAAAGGTAGAACACATGGTTCTGCAGCTGGCTTATGAAATATTGATGTTATTAATTGACCGTCTTTATTTTCAATGACAGCATCAAGAAAATTGACGATTGAGTTTACGGTATATGTTATTCCGATATTTAAATATTGTGCTTTGAACTTTTCTAGTTGTTTGATAATGTCTGCATATGATAAATTTGTTGTCATGAAAACATCATCGATATATCTAAAATTGGAAATCTAATGAATAGATTGCCTGCTTTTATCACTATAGCATACCGGCCATAGAGTTCGTTATGAGCTTGTTGATGTTCAACGAGATTTTGCTCCCATTCCAACATGTAAATATTCGCGAGCACCATAGTAAAAGGAGAACCCATAGCATCCCCTCTGATTTGTTTATAGTATTTGCCGTTGTATACAAAGGAATTGGTATCTAATACAATTCTTGCTAACCGTATAATTGTATTTATAGACAAATTGCTAATTTTTCCGTTTTTTGAATGTTTACGTAGGAATCGGACGAAAGAATTTAGAGCTCCATCTCTTGTTATCATGGTGTAAAGATCGGTGACATCAAAAGTAACGAACATTGTAGTTGCTTTTAATTGTCCACTATCTCGATATTTTTCGAGTTGACGAGTAAAATCAATATCCCTCATATAAGTTGTTGTTTGAACCACTCGTAAGTAGAGAGGAGCCAGGAGATTATTCAAAAATGTTGAAATACCTATAGTTGGTGATCCTCTATAGGATATGATTGGACGCAATCGAACATCAACCTTAAAAGAGTAGAAAAAAGACTATCAGAATCTCTTCTATGCCGCCAATATGTTAAGCTAATGACAATTTACCTTGCGTGCTCTAGGTATAAAATATAAATGTGGTAATTCACATTTCGTAATATTGGGCATCATAGCTTTCCATTGTTCATAAGTAATGGCATTGTCTTCTTTAAGACGACCCAGGAGTGTTTGGACTAAATGTAAAATACTGCCGAGCGGGTTGATACCAGTGATAATTTCTTCATAAGCTTGCGTTTTTTCCATATATTTGAATGCTTTGGATTCAAATTCTTCGGCGCTGCAAATATAAGATACTTTAGGGTGTGGGTGTGGGTAACGGTGCGTGTGAATCAAAAGAAAATCAACACCCACACCCACACCCACACCCACCCACACCCCAATAGAGGGATATTTTGCATTTGGATACGCGCTAATAAATAATTTATCAAACGAAAATAATTTTATCATATGATTATAAAGTTGATCCAAATCTGAACATTCATGAACTAATGTACTAATGTCGGATTTTTTTTAAAGTGTTAACGACCATTTTCTGAATAACTTTTGATTACTTTGAGTTATCGAGCTGCGGTTTTCACCATTCAAAAGAGCAAGCCGGGGGCTACAAAATCCT